ATCATTGGTATCTAAGTCTTCCGCTGTGCTATTTTATACTTTGTATTGAAAGGTCGGTTCTTGTTCTGGTCTGCACCTATACGGTATGCAACAGGCAATGAATGCATTTGGCCATCCACGTCGTCCCTGTCCATTTTACAAATGGTGACCTCCTGTCCCCTCACCACGGGGAGTATCCTTTTTTCACGGAGACCTTCACTCCGACTGTTACAGACATGTTTCATTTCTCCCAGTTACTTTATAAAAAATAAGGAGAAAAGCTGTTTCTAGCGTTTTTTTCAGTTTTTTTATTTGTTGTTTCGAATTTATTAATGTCGACATGGCGTCACACCGTTGAGTTTTCTAAACTCAACAACCTTAGGTGGGACCAGACCCCAGGTGCTGCCTTTTTTTTTTTTTTTTTTTTTGGTACTGCCTTTTCTATTGCCCCCCTATAGACCTCTCTATTAGACTCTCTGTCAGTCCCCTTCCTTTGTGAGTTCATCCCACCAGTTTTTTTTTGTTTGTTTTTTTTTTTTGGGAGGGGGGAAGAGGGGGGCGGGAGTATTTTCGAAATGCCCCTCCGACTTCCATTTATTTGCACCATCTGACGGGCGACTTATCCTGTCATGCCCCCTGGGGCCTCTGAAGTTTCCTGCGGGCCCCTGTCAGTGACCGGTGCAACTCTCCAGCATGCCCCTGTGGCCGTTGGTGGCATTCACGGGCGTTCCCCTGGCCTTGAGAGGGGAGCTACCGGGGCATACTGGAAATTTGGAACCGGTACCCGTAGGGGCATATGCACAACATATTTCCGGTCCAAACGATGCCAGAATTTTTTCGGAAACTTCAATCGTTCTCAGAGGGTGCGACAGGGTATAACTTAAGTCAGCCTTCGCAGGGGCATACCGCAAATAAATGGAAGCTGGAGGGGCATTTCACAAAAGAAATCCCTTTTTTGAAGTTTTTTTTTGGGTCTTGTGGATTTCCTCTTTAGGCCTGTTGCCTCAGCGCGTACTCACCCTACCTTCTTTCCTGGATGTATCGACCCCCAAGGAATGCATGTGACCGTAACGATGGTTAGAGCCAAGTCAACGGCAAATTCCGAGTGCGAGTATGCCCTCTGCCGCTCTGCGTGCTTTTTCGACAGGGAAGTTTACCTTCACGTCCCCGACCAGGCTGAGCTTGTCATTCTTATGCATTTGTTAGGAGTGTAGTAGGGTCCCTTTTTTAAAGACTTTGGCCTCGTTAGCGGCCTCTGACCTCTGGTATGAGGGGGGCGGGGAGGGGGGAGGGGGGAGGGGGGCATTTGTGATGGTCTTTTGGGGTTCAAGCCCTATAGCTTATGTGTCCATGTGTGCCATTTGCCGATGTTCGACTTGTGTTCACGGGTATCGTTTGACAGATGACGGCGAGAGAACGCCTCAGCACATGCTCTTGGTATGGGTGTGATGCTTTTGCTATGGTCTTTTGGGGTCTAGAACCCCCTTTATTATCCTTTTCGTCGTCGGATTGCTGTTGCACGCCACCTTATGTTTCCATATGTGCCATTGTTCCATGTTTGACAGGTATAGTTTGACGGACGACGGCGAGAGAAAACTTCAGCACATGCTCCGGTGCACGTGGGATGAAGAGGCAATAATGCCCGGCTTAAAATCTCCTCCTCCCCCACCACAGTCGCGAAACAGCCAAGCGCGGGGCGGAGGCAGAAAGTAGGCAGAGAGAGTCTAACATTCTAAGGGGCGCAGTTTTGACCATTCACCTGGTAAGTGGGTGCCTGTTCTGCAGTCAACCACCCAGGCATGAGCCAAGTTCTTTCTCTCTCTCTCTCTCTCTCTCTCTCTCTCTCTCTCTCTCTCTCTCTCTCTCTCTCTCTCTCTCTCTCTCTCTCTCTCTCTGTTTTGAGAGTGCTGTGGATGGATACACAAATGAATAAATAAATAGAAATGAATAATCAGAATAAATCAATATAATTATATAAATGAATAAACAAATATAATTTACATAAATGAATAAATAAATAGAAATGAAGCTTGTAAAAACCATTTGCTCGCAGAAGTATATTTATTTATTGATTGATTGATTTATTTATTGATTTATTGATTTATTTATTTACTAGGCGACCAGAGTGGCCCGGGACCGTTTGCCTGGGGTCTAGTCCCACCTACAGCGTTGAGTTTTCTCAACGCTGCGCTTTCTATCACGTGTGGCATGGTGGGACGGAGCTCTGCCGTTGATGCATTGCGAATCTAACGGTACCAAAATACAGGTGAATAACCTATTAGATTTAGTCATTTTGTAGAATTTTTCTTTGACGTGAAATCCGTTTTGTATTATGCGTTGGCCCTTTTGGTTTGGGCGGGAAGCCATTTTACGTTGAGAAAACTACCCTACCGAGGGTAGGGTACATTTCTCAACGGCAGTGCCTTTCCTTTTTTTTGTTTTTTTAGACCTCATTGCATCCTGAAATGGAGGAACTCTGACAGCTGTGTTTGGCTGTCTGGCATCAAACTCGTTTCCTTCTTTGGGAAATGAATGCATTTGGCCATCCATGTCGTCCCTGTCCATTTTACAAATGGTGACCTCCTGTCCCCTCACCACGGGGAGTATCCCTTTTTCACGGAGACTTTCTGTGGCAGACTGCGTAGCCACACGGGCCCTGTAGGACCCGTCCCGGACATTCAGCCTAAAAGCCTAAAACTTAGGAGCTACAGGCCCCGGTCGT